AAAAAAAAAAGTATAGAAAATTCCTGAAAAAAAATTAGGTTAACCTTCACCTGGCTCAACGAACATATTTTGCAACCAGGAAAAGGCAAAGAATGGTACAATGTTCTGAAACCATTGATGAAGCAGAAGGAGGGTAAAAAATTCCCCAAAGCGGAACACCTGAAGTCATACAGCCTGAAAAATTACACAACAACCTAAACCGCAACCCCAAATCCAGATATTGTGCCAACAGGTATGAAAACCACCTGGCAAAAATACAAGTTCTTGTCCTGATGGCCACTAAGCAACTACAGTCTGATATAAAAGTATGGGATGCAACCTTTTTAATGCAGAATAACTGGCTTCCCAATGCTAATGACTATGAGCTATCAGATGAGGTAACAAGTACTCTTCACAAGAAAAAAGTTGCTCTGAAATTGCTACAATCCTGGAAGATGATTACAGTACATTTATAAAGTATTTTGACCAAGCATTCTTACCTAGTTTTATTCCCTTGAATGATTTAGTCAAGTCATTTAATAAAAGGTAATAAGTTGCTTGAAAGTGATTGTTGTCCAATATTTTTACCGCCGAAAGCTTCGGATTAAGAGCAAATTTGTTTGGTAATTAACGCTTAATTACTAATTGCTCACCTTCATCATAAGGAAGTCAAAGATTATGTTTGACTGCAAGATAGCTGTGCTGTTAAGCTATCTTGTCCCTATGGATTGAAAAAAGTACACTGAGAACATGAAATTATAAAAGAAGTCTCATGCAACAGTTTACATTACTTGACTTAAAATACTACCATAACTTAGATGGCTTTAATTTCACAAGTTGCACAACATGCCCTGATGAATGTGAAAGTTGTATAAGAATGTAAGTAACAATCATAGTTAAGAAAAGGTAATGGTCAGATTCCTATTTACCATGTTCATGTATGATTGAGAATGTTTGTGTTATTCATCACAGGCTAGCAAACCAAAGTCATTGTTAACAACAACAACAAATTTTATTTAAGCTTAAAGTGCACTTAAACCCAAAACGTTTTTTTCGCTTAACGAAATAAGCGTATTTTTTGGAGTATTTCTGTGCAAATACTTTTTTTATTTGCTCAAATCTTCAATTTTGTGTGCCCAGTCAAAATACGGAAAATCGGCCGCCATCTTGCCCCACGACCGAGTTTAAAGAGGAATGGCTCTAGCGGGTAATGTGACGTCAAATCGAGAACACGAAAGTCTGCATTTCACACATTTTCACTTGTGTGAGAAGGTTGCAGTCGATATTGTCCGAAAATATGCCGACTAAGTGTGTTGTAGAAGGATGTAGCAACGTGCAAAATTTGCAAGAGGGTATCGCGCTACATACATTCCTCATACAACACGCCTAGTCGCATAGTCTTTAAAGTCCATTCTTGACATGATACCCAAGATATTGGCCGAGCCCAGCAAAACATAACCCTTTTAATGTAGCACCTCTGGCCCACCCCCTCAATTATATGCTATAGGGTAAAAACATTTGAAAGTGACGTTTCATCTATTGTTTCACTGTCTTGTAAACACTAACCAAAGCGATGAGCTAGATATCATTGTATTTACAACTTAATAGATATGATTGTGCGCTACGATAAATTATCCAACGAGACACACGAAACAACCAAGAATTTTTTTACAATGAAAATCCAAGTCCGAGATCTTCCAACGTGTCAGGAAATATATAGAACTGTGGTCTCCCAGGGTTTCCGTTCTGAGAATTTTACATTTACGTAGAGAAATTGATGAAGGGTTTACTGCTAGAGTTTTGAGATGATTTTCAATAGCCCGTAGTACTTCTGCAAAAGCAGTGTTACGTGCACGAATGACCAACAAATGTCCGCTAACAAAGCATACATAAAAATAGACTCCCGAGTACGATATAAGGCATGCAACAACAATGTAACAACAAGCAGTTACCCATTTTAACTATTATTTAATTAGTTTTACACTGTTTAATCTACTTAGGTTAAAGATTAAGTCAAGCAGTTCATAAAGCAGGCTTACAATCCTTTATGCCGTAGAAGTGTTCGTCGTCTTAATCAACTTCCAATTCCGACATCCGCCGACTGAAGACCACAGCCCTTGGCTTTCTTGATTCATGGCTTTCTTTCCGTGTACACAAATTCTACCGGAGGACCTCAAAGTGAACTCTAAATTCTTTATCTCCTTCCGCTCTTGGCTATCGTCGTTTTCTTCTCTTTCTTCTTTCCGGATATCGCAAGGTCAAAAGGTCATAGCCTCGTCACATCATAGCTTCCACAAGTTCAGTCAGCCGGCCACGAGGGTATGCCCTCGGGCAAATCCTTTTTGTACTTCTCACAAGCCAGCTTTTATACATTTACTTTAGGTATCTAGAATGTTCTATCACCATTTATAGCGTATTACAAGCTGTACTATTTTTGGAAACTGCTGAGTCACATGAAAGAAGTTTCTGGAATATTACAGACAAAAGATAATTCTAGAAAGTCTGGGATTGCGTAAGAGATTCAGTGAAAATAATTCGATCCTCGTAACAGCAGTAGCTAGAGATTCCCACTCGATCCGATCTTGCTTAATGTCAGTTAAGGCAATAGAACTCAAAAGACTAACGGTTCGATCGAGAACTACAGATTGTGCTTGCAAGTCATTGATATCCGTTTCATTTTTATGTATACACTGCTCTGCTCTTTCGAGCAATGACGATAGAAATTCAGGTAAGTCTTTTTTCACGTCAAATTCTGGCTCTACGTCCGCCATGATGCTAGTTAAAACTTACCGCACAAAAACATAAAGCCGGAAAGTTCCCGTATGCTAGTTATCATTTCCGGTCACTAACCGGAAGCAATTTTGAATGTATTTTTTTTCATTGAATTGAACTTGAATTTTCATTGAATTGAACTTGAATTTTCATTGAATTGAACTTGAATTTTCATTGAATTGAACTTGAATGTTCATTGAATTGAACTTAAATTGAACTTGATTTGAAATTGAATTGAACTTGAATTTCATTGAACTGAAATTGAATGCCATTGAATTGAAATTGAATTTCATTGAATTTCATTGAATTTTAGTATTGAATATTGCTCCAATTGGCTTGCCATAGTTAAGCGAAAAAAAATTTTTGGGTTTAGGTGCGCTTTAATAAGTAAATTACAATGCTTGGACCCGCAAGTAACTAAGGCTATTCGAGGCGGGCACAGGAGAGGAAAATTAAAAAAAGAAAAGAATTCTATAGAAAATGAATATTTATATATATAATTATAATATATAGACGAACAATTCTAAAAGAAATCTAGTTTGCCGTGTGACAGAAAGAAACAGGAGGGCAGGCTGTAGTGTATACTGGAAGTACACACAGTTATAATTTTGAGAATTGTACTCTAATATCAGCAATTCTTATATAATCATTGACGACATCCCAATTTAGTTTGTCACCTCTCTTGAGATCGATTCAATCTAAAACATATAGATATGTATACTTTAAATTTCGCTGCACATGCATAAGAACACATCTGTTGACGCATAGCTTTTTGCTCTCTCTCATTTACATGCCTTGTAGATTGAGTAATAAACTCTCTTTGTTGAAGCTCATATAAATACATTTACCCACAAAAGTGTTGTACTGTAAATCACCGTTAAATTTCTAACTCGGGATTAGCCGAGACATAAAAATTTGGTAAACAACACAATTTACGCTACGGGTAAGTTTTCACTCTGCGGTTTATCAATTTCCACCTCATCCTACACTGACGAGAATGAAAAATTTCCGAAACATTTTTAATCCATAATTTAGTAAACGAAAAAATGCGCCTTCCTTGAATGAAACGTTCGTTATTTGGATTTACGCCTCAGAGCATTAGGGAAGCTACGGCAAATTAGAGCTAATTTGCCGAATAAAACACAAAACTACCACTCACCTCAGCTGTAGACCCCACATCTGCACGAAAACAACGTCTTCTAAAAAAATTGCGGTAGATATATCCATCTTCACCTCCCCAAAAGCGTAAAGGCTCTCTGATCTAATCTTCGAACGCGCCATGCGGTCACGGCCGCCATTCTTTTAAGTCTTCAAACTCTGCTGGGGTCTCGAACCAAGATAAAACCCAGGCCTTAAACTACTTAAGATGCACAGCCCTTCCATGCTGTCGCACACACTCCTTTGAAAGTGGAAGGTAATTAGAGTGTTTCAGCAAGTCGTGGAAAATCGGCATTTTCAACAGGGAACTCTGCTTTACCAAAAATTTGAGTTGCTTAAGGTTCATTTCACGCTCTTAAATAACGCTTTCCTAACTACACAAGAAATCAGGTTATGACCAAAACAATGCAAATTTGTTAATAGGTGTATACTTTATTCTTGATTTTTCAAAAGCGTGGCTGTAAATAAACTAATAAACATTAGTGTGTGTGTCGTGTATGTGTAAAAATTCTAAGAAATTCCTAAACCACCGTTTTCTTGCCTGATTTTCTGCGTGCCGTTTGAGGCGCAATTGATTTACCGGAGAAAACATTCATCACATGTTTTGGCCTATCCTCTCAGTTTTTTTTTTTTTTTTTACACCGTTGCTTTAACTGAATGGGCATATACTTTATTTTCAATTTTTCAAAAGCTTGGCTATAAATAAGCTAATTGACCTTCTCGCGTATGTCATGTATGTGTAAAAATTTTATGAAATTCCAAAATGACGTTTGCTTGCCCGATTTCTGCTTGGGTCCGATGAAAGCGTAATTGATGACTTGGAGAAAAGATTACATATTTTCTCGCTTATCCTTTCAGTTTTTTCTTACACCGTTGCTGGAAAAATGGTAAGAAAAAAACATTTTTAGACACCTTGAAAAAACGCCGTAGGATCGTTCAAGAATTGTCTCCCAGTCTTGGTTATTCTCACAAGTCTGGCGCAGTTTCATTCAGAGCTATTTACTCTCAGATGTCCCCACCTGCGCTGTCATTACTGCCGATTTTGTGCACCAATGACGCACTGTCACGTGACGACGAAGACCTAGGTTTTCTATTCCAGTGATACTTGTAGATCAGGATAGTGGAAAGGGCGGCCACAAGGATGCACAAACCCGCCAGAAAACCGATCCGAATCTTACAACTCGATTCCCTTAATAACACATCATTTTCTTTTTCACGATCATCTTTTTCAGGATCATCTGAAAGAAGAACACATTTAATTTGTGATCTCTCTATTGAACGAAAAAAAATATATTTTCGCCTCTAGAACAGTTTTTCAATAAATTGTCATTAGTTAAAAAGCCTAGTTGAGTTTTGCTCTTTATGCTTTTGAAAGAAAGGAACCTGGTCGTCAAGGCGTTTTCGAATGATTACAGCTACTTGGAAACAAGGTTGGCTTAAAGTTGGAATAAACATGATTTAAAGGGACATAGGAACCACACTGGCAAGGGAGAAACCCTCTGGGAGGCCGAATCGCCCATGTAAGCATTATTTCTGAGGTAATCGTAAACCGTTTATTAAACAGAGACGTACCTATAGCGGGAGGGGGTCCTGGAATATCTGCGGATAGCTAATACATAATAAAGAGGTGTGCTCTAACTTGTAACTTTGGCTGCCCCTCCCACCTTTAAAAATCTCAGGCTAGATCTGTCAACTGATCGGAGGGGTGGGGATGGGTGATGATGGGTGATGAAATGAAGGGAACTCCAAAATTTCAACTTCATCGAGCGGAATGACAGGGAGGTACCTGGTACATTGCAAAGGATTATTAAACGAATAAGAAAGTGATCATTACAGTTATGAACACTACCTGAGCAGTAGTGAAAGTAAAGCCTTAAAAAAAGTAAGGCTCGTTCGACAGTTGAACCCATGCCCTCTGTAATAGTGGTGCTCCGCCAACTGAGCTAACAAGCTAACCCACAGCTGTCGCAGCTGGTCATTCTGGTGGTTCTTCGTAAACCCGTGAGTGATGAATGAATTCGAAGTTCAAATATAGGATATCATGTCAGATCTTTACATTCATTTAAAGGGCTATTAATCAACCAAATCGTTTATACGTTACTCCAAAAGGGGCTGGGTGTTGGACCCATGGACAAACAGGAGTGCAATCTCTATCGAGACATTCGAGGAGCACAGAGGTATAACTGAGTGACTGTATTCCTGAGGGAGGGTGCTTATAAATCGTCTTCTAAGTTGCACCATATTTTTGCATCTTTAAAGAATTGCTCGTTCAATTGCTTGAGTTAAGCATTGCATTCGACAGTTTATAGTGATATTCTCGAATGCCGGGAACACTGATTATGACCGAATCAGTCCTTCCGCTTACCTGGATTACTGATTCTTGTCGTGGGATGAGTTTTGTTGGCACATGAACTGTTTTTCATAGTTGAATGAGATTCAACAGTTGTTGGTGGGTTGGTAGGCCTGGATGAAGTTTGCGATTTTGTTGGGGAGACACCGTTACACATGTCTTCACTTTTGCAACGTGGATCTATTAAGATGGAAAGATCGAAAAAGCGAAAACAGTTAATAAAAACGGTCGCAAGATGCATCCGACAAACTAATCTATCTTTCCAGGTGTCAGTCTGCGAAAATGATTAATGAGTTGGTCACATCAATGAATATACCACTGGAAACATGCAAGGAATTATATCTAAATGATTCAATTGTCATCTTAACTTGAATTGGTTCTGGGCAAAGTACAGTGATTGGTAAAATTCACTTTAGCTGCAATTATCGTTTCTTGCCTAGAGCATGATCAGTTTATTTTTTTACCCTGGAAGCAGCAATGGCAATGTAAATCAGCCCTCTTTTTTCTATCTTCAAAAATGAAAGACTTCTCTCGAAAGTTTTTTTTACAGCGACCTACCTGTACTACTTGCACAAACAAGGAATTTCAGCTTCATATTGTTTGTTCTACAGTTTCCTCCAGACGTACTGTTAATAGACGTTTTTCTTCCATCTGACGTTGCTAGTCGATAGAAAAACTTAAAACTATTAAAAATTGTTCAAGGCATTTAATACGTCTTAATTGGTAAGCTAAACCTTCCTGCTTAAAGTAATTGCTCTTAAATAAGAAAAAAAAAATTCTTTTAATTTTTTTTTTCACTAATGGACGTATCAGTTGTGGTATCTGCATCTGTGCACGAAGCAGGAGATTGCAAATTTGAAGAATCATCACAAAAAGAATTCAAAACTCATGGAGAAAGTTAGTGAGAAACTATTAACAAACGCTCGTTAACACCAACTTGGCTCAGAGGGCGCGAAGAACTTCTGGATAGTGTAAAGGGAAAAGAGACACTGTTAATGATACTTTTGTTTTGTTTTGTTTTGTTTTTTCTTTTTGTCATTGCCCTAACTGTGTGCGTAATAGTTCGAGGTGGGGAGGAAGAAGGGTGGGTGCACGTATGCGTGTGTGATCATCTACGTCAGCGTGGTCATGGAAAAGACTGTTGAAGGTGTCAGTGTATGACATTTTACACTCTAAGCAGACTGAAGTCACCATGATTTGACCCGCCTTAACTCGACTCTGATAACATTGACTTTCGCCATATCTCTAACTTCCGGGTTCAAGCCAGTAATTGCCAGTTTAATGAATAGTTTCTATTTTGTCGTGAGTCTGCTAAGAAATAGATCACAGATGACGTCAAAATAAGGTAATGATAAAAAAGTGAGAGGCGAGGCACCGCCGGGCGTGTCACTGATCAGGATGTCCTTTGTGACAATTACTGTACAGACCCATGGCAACATCACGTGAATCTATTTGTTTTATATAATAAAGAAGCAAAATCTGGTCATGGTGACGTCATCTATGCATCTGTCCTCCATTAGATCATAAGTAGGGACCAATCAAAATGCGTGCGTAATTCATGCTTATCATGTTATTTGAAATGGTTGGACCTACCTACCTACAAAATAGTACTCTTTTCCCGGGTGAAATTCGGGCTCATTGCTGGCGCTAAATCTCTTAAATGTCACCGTATAATATTTTAGTTTAAGTGGTTCGTCACACAGCCATAGTCTCGTATCAGTCCTTCGATTTATTTCGCATCGCTCGTAACTTTGTTTGCTGACCAGCCACAGATTTTCGTACTGTGGATCAACGTAACTACTATGGGCGAGTCTTTTAACTATCGTAGCTGTGTTTGGGCACACGAATATCACTTTAGACATTGGGTGAACACAATGTGTTCTGTTCGATGCAAACCTAGAAGAGACAATGGGAATAATCGAATGAGAATGATCGCCGACAGCTAGCGTCCAGGCCCCGGTTGTCCGAAGAGTAGATAACGCCATGGAGCCTCTGGATAAATCTCTCTCTCCGGTGGATAGCCCGGTCGGTGCGCTTTGGAAAATATTTTGCGCCAGATAGCGATTCATCCGCTGAATTGCGTTATCCGCCCTGTTGAACAACTGGATAATCTGGGTGCAGTTTAAACAGCTATGAGTCATTATTTTTGCTCGTGTTCCCCTGTATTTACAGTATTGTGAAGTTTTTAAGCGCTTCCCATTGACAAGCAAAAAGCTTTGTAATCGAAGTCAGCATCTTATATCTATTTTCAGCATATATTCATCAATGACTTTTGGGAAACAGAAAGCGTTTTTTGCAGGAAATAACGGCTCCATTGTTGGTCGGACGAAACAACGTTTCTATTTTGAACGGTCTCGCTACACTAGATAATCCTTCGAAGGGGAAGAAATTTAACACACAAAGTCGAATATAAATGTGCCTTTTCATAACTCCTTGATAAATACCCCGGGAAATATTTTGTTCCTCTTTTCACCACGCAATTGATGATCACTGTGTTCGTTTGTGAGGCCTTATATACTTCTCAGGCTTTTCAACAATAGATGCATAAATTTCTCATGATTACTCCGGCACGAGTGATCATGTTACCATTTCTTAGAATTTTGGAGTGTCAGAATTAATGTAAGATTTCAAAAAATCTCAAAACGAGTGAAAGGAAAAAATCATTCTATGCGTACAGGGGGTATCATCGTTATAAATAGGCGTGATGTAAAAGTGATCACGAGTTAGCTGAATCTCTTTCAAACAAACATCCTGTTTAGTCAAGTAACAACAGGTAAGGTCAAGGGAAACCTGCTTTATGGACCATAGGCAATGTGTTCTTTAAGCAATTATCTTTTTTGCCTCAGTATAAGTTTTAGACAAAATATTCACCGCTATAGCCTGTTACTCGGTAACCGATTAAAAAGAATTCCAATCA